AAATGCAGAGAATTCCCAGGTGCCCAGCCCGCATTGTCCCCCCAGCACCCCAAGTGCATCCCACACAGGAGTGGTCCATTGTTAGGATGCATGGCCTCATGCTGTCCATCATTGGTATCCACAGTCCGTAGTTTACATTGTGATACGCTCTGCATAGTCTGAAATTTGATCCAAGCTAGTATTTGCTTGAAAATATGTAGGAAAATATTAACTTGTCAATAAAACTGTTTGAAAAATTGATATTTGAAGAAAAAAGCTATACCACTGATTCCCACCCCCACCTACTTGGAAAGGCAGAGTGACAGAACTTCCATCCACTGGTCTGCTCCCCAAATGTCTTCAGCAGCCTGGGCTGAGCCAGGTGGAAGCCAGGAGCCCGGAAGTCCTTGCCCGTCTCCCTCGTCGGTGGCAGGGGCCAGAGTACTGAGTCACTCGCTGCCTCCCAGGTGCTGTAGCAGGAAGCTGGATGGGAAGTGGAAGAGTCGGGTCTCCAACCCAGGCATCCCAAGTAGCCGCTCACCTGCTGTGCCACAATGCCTGCCCCCAAAGAGCATTTTAAATATGGGAATTTAATCTGAGCTAACAGAGGGGCTTTAGAGGGTCGGGGAGAAATGGGCAGGACAGGACCGGGCTTCGTCAGGTGGCTGTGAACCGTTGAGGAAGGCCCGGGGAGAGCACTTGCGCCCTGCATCTGCCAGCCTGCCTTCTCTCAGTCTCCTAAGCCGGGAGGCTGATGAGGAGTAGAGAGAGCCGGACTCGCAGTGTAGGGAGCGCGTTCCCCTGCCTTACCCCCGGGCCGCCTCTGGTCCCTGTGCCTGACAGGCAGGCGTCTTCCTCCTGGCCTCGTGGATGAGGAACAAGCTCAGAGAAGCGAGGCGACTTCCCCGAGTCGGGCCCAGCCCGGGTCCTGTGTCGTTCTGTCCCTGTCCCGTGTCACAGCAGGGCTCCCACATACATCGACGTGTCCAGGCGTGGAGTCGAGCCGCTAAGTCCTGTTCCAAGGTAGAGAGACTGGACGTGCTGCCCCTCAGACCCCTCAGAACCGCTGTGAGGGCCGCCCGGCGTGTGCTGTGGCCGAGGCCCTCCGCTGGCCTTGGTGTGACCTTGGATCAGGAGGAAATTTTTCCCTCGGATGAGCGATTAGCCTGAAGACCAAAGTCCTCCACGTCGCAGGTTTTGAGTGCGTCCGTCACAGCTCCGCTGTCACGTGTGTGCTCTGCTCTGCCTGTTTGGGAGGCATCTGTGTGCTGGTCCCAGCTGAGCAGTGGAGAGCCGGGCAGAGGGGTGGCCCCAGGTCCCCACCAGCCCTGCGGAAGGGGCAGGCTTGTCAGTCTCACCAAGTCTCAGTCTCCCCCTCTGTCACACGAGCTGACAAAGGTACCTGCTGCAGGTACCAGTGACTTCACGTGTGGCCTCGCACCGTCCCTGCCGCCACCGCCCACTTGGGCTGCAGGCTGGGAACGCAGTGGCCGTGACACGGTCCTTCGTGTTCCTGGCGTGCCCATTTCACAGAAGGGAACAGGAAGGCCCTGGGAGGTTAGCCGGCTGCTGAGTGGCAGACCTAGGGTTTGAACCGAGAGCTGCAGATGGACCAAGTTTACTCTGCCAGGCTTCCTGGGACTGCAGGTCTTGGGCAGCTGTGGGACTGCCGTGGCTGCACAGCAGCTGTGCTGTGAACATGGCGGTGGGGCCTGGTGCTGAACCGCTGTTCACAAAGACACACGCTGCCTACTGCAGAGCCGACCCAAGTTCCGCAGTTCCTTTCCCTCTGAAAAGCCGCCTGGCTCTGGGAGTTTTACTTGAAACCTTTTTCAAATTAAAGAGAAATTTATCCAGCACCTTAGGCCTGTTTGCACGTGTGATCTCGGCCCTAAAGCCACAGAACCTGGCTTGGGGGAGCGTGGCCCCTGGGTGGGATGGCCTCCTGCACGTTGCTGTTCACCATTGCCACCACCAGGTGGGGGCCGTGGACCAGCGTGGACCTCTGGCTTTTCCTGGTGGAGGATTTGCAGAGAGCCTCAGCCTCTGCAACCCTGGGTAGCCAGGTTCAGCCCCTGACGATGCGTGAGGCAGACACTCAGCACGTGCTGCCCGCCGTCCCAGGCCAGGCTGCCGGGAGCCCTGGCCCAGCTGGGTTTTTGGTTCCACGTGTGCCGTTGTCTCGGTGTGCTTTAGCCATCACAAGACGAGGTCCAGTTACGAAAAGCTTCTCCCCCCAACTAAGGGTCCCCTTTGACTCCTGAGTGCGCCTGTGGAGGTGTTGCTGTCCTCCGCGGTGACTTCCTGCTAGGGAAGGGGGAAGACCGAGGCCACTTTGAAAAGACGTGGACTTGTGGCTTCTGCTGGGAGGGGCTCGTGAGCTGAATGTTCTCTGTGTGGTGGTTGGACAAGCGTTTCCTGAGCCGCTGCTCAGACGGGGCAGGGAGCAGGATGAAGGCGGGCCTGAGGTGTTTCAGAGCGTGCCCTGTGCCCTGCATCCGGCGGTGGGCACGGTGGTCGGAGCTGGGGTCACTGCGGAGGCTGGTGCAGCAGAGGGCAGCAGGATTTCACAGCCTCGCCTGCCCTAAGCCACCCTGCTGTCCCCGTGTCCCCCCACTGAGGGTAAGGGCATGCAGTCTCCAGGCAGGTCCTTCCTGGGTCCTGGGCACCTTTTCCTTGAGATCCACTGCAAGTGTCCCTTTCCTCTTGGTGACCACTGTCACCAGCCTGTCCTGGCCGCCAGCTCCCACTTGGACCCACGTTCCCCCTGTTGTCCCTCCCAGCCCTGTTTGTGCCAAGGCCACACTCCAGGGGCCGGAGAGGGTTGGTGAGAGCTTTCTTGGGGGGCACGTGAACGGGTTCTGCCGAGCCCACGGGGCGCTGTGCCAGACCAGTCTCCGAGCAGCCGGCGACGAGTGCAGGGGGAGGCTGCACCTAAGGGCACCTCTGTGTTGTCAGTGTTCTGGGACAGGGGAAGACCCTGCCCTGTTGGAAAGTGGACAAGGAAACACAGCATTTGCAGGTTGTCAGTGGCAGGAGCCAGTGCCCTGATGGGGTCCTGAGGGCCTGCCGTAGGGAGGGGTCGCAGGTGTCCTGGGGCAGCCGTGCTGCTGGGCCTGGGGAGGGGGGGCGGGACACGTTCTGGGGCAGAAGGGGCAGGAAGCAGAGGTACAGGTGGGGCAGGGGTGGCGGCCAGGCAGAAAGCACTCTGGCCCTGGGTGGAGTCCACTTGTGCCTGCAGTGGAGGGAGAGAGCTGCGGAGGTCGGTGTGGGAGAATCCCTGAGTTGTTTGCCAGAAAAGTAACCAGCTGGGTGCGCCCAGGGAATGGCCCCCGAGAAACGAGCTTGGCCACTGCCCCCACAGGCAGGTCTCGCACCGCGTGGGCTGTGATGGTCCTGCCTGTTAGTGAGGCAGCTCCTTCCCCCTTCCCTGCATTCACAGGGCTGTCTCTTAACATTTATTGCAAAGTAGAAGTGTGACTGGTTAGCGCTTAGCGCTCTGCAGGCCCTGCCCCTGCCCCTGCCCCTGCCCCTGCCCCTGCCCCTGCCCCTGCCCCGTGCCGTCTCCCCAGCTGCTTTTACCTTCCAGCTGCTTCATTTCAGAGTGTCTTGCCCTCAGCCCTCAACTTCTTCCTGGACTTCTGAGCGCTTCTAAGAGCCTTGGGAATGTTCTGGATGGCTAGCTAGCAGTGGGGTAGCTTTTAAAAATGTGTTTTTGTTTTGTTTGTTTTCTATTTGTTTATTTGAAAGGCATAGTTACAGAGAGAGGGAGAGACAGAGATCTTATCTACACCTGCTGGTTCACTGCCCAAGTATCCTCAACAGCCAGAGCTGCACCAGGCTGAGCCCAGGAGCCTGGAGCTCCCTCGGGGGTCTCCCATGCGGGTGCAGGGCCCAAGCACTGGGGCCGTCTTCCACTGCTTTCCCGGTCGCAGGAGCAGGGGCTGGACAGGGAGTGGAGCAGCTTGGATCAGCAGTCAGTGGGAGGCCGGCCTTGCTGGCGGCGGCTGAACCTGCTACGCCACCGCACCAGCCCCTAGAGATGTGAGCCAGCCAGTGGTGACGTGTCACCCAGCACAGCCCGTGAGGACGTAACCTTTCCGTTCATCGTCACAGGTCATTACAGCTACTCCGAGAGCCGCGTGGAGCGGGATGGCCTGATTCTCACCAGCCGCGGTCCGGGGACCAGCTTCGAGTTCGCTCTGGCCATCGTCGAGGCGCTGAGTGGCAAGGAGGTGGCGGATCAAGTGAAGGCTCCCCTCGTGCTTAAAGATTAGAGCAGTAGAGTGGCGTGGGAGAGAGCGCCCCCTGCTGGGGTTCACGCCTGCCACAGCCGGCCCGCATGCAGGCTGAGAAGCGCCGTGGATTGTGGAGTCACGGCCGACGGGCTTCTTGGCCTGCAGTTTGTGTCTGTACATTTCTGAGGCCTGTTCGCACAATAAACAAGGCGCGTAGCAAGCTGCTGGGGGCCCCGCCTGTCTCGCGTGTCTTGTGGAACCCAGCTCGTTACCCGCTTGCTTGCAGCTCTCACTGTGGCTGCAGCTGCGTAGTAAAAGCCCAGTGGGCAGCGCAGGCACGGAAGGAGGCAGAGGCAGCATGGACGGGCTCGCCGTGCTCTCCCGTCCTCCACCGCTCAGTGCGCCGGGGCAGGCCGCTGAGGCTGGCCGCGGGGGAGTCCCGGCAGCCCCCGCCTCCAGTTCCGTTGTGGAAAGAGGCCTCAGGTGGAGTTGAGAGGTGCCCGGGGCTGGCCCAGCCATTTGTTCCTTCCTCAGGTAACGGCACCGACTCCTTGTGCTCCCCAGAGCCCCCCACACCGCCTGCCTGCAGCCAGGGGAGAGCAGCCAGTGGCTGAGACTTGGTTCCGGGGCGTCTGCACAGTGGCTGCCGTGGCCAGGAGGCCGCGCTGTGACCCCGGAGTGTCAGCAGCCGTCTGGTCACTGCAGAAAGAACAGCTGTAGTTGGCTGGTCCCAGGACAAGGCAGAGATAAATGCTTTTTTTAAAAAAAAGATTTATTTGAAAGAGTTAAAGAGAGGCAGAGAGGTCTTCCATCCACTGGCTCACTCCCCAAGTGGCCACAGCAGCTGGAGCCGGGCTGATCAGGAGCTTCTTCCGGGTCTCCCACGCAGGTGCAGGGGCCCAAGGATTTGGGCCATCTCACACTGCTATCCCAGGCCACAGCAGAGAGCTGGAGCAGAAGAGGAGCAGCCGGGTATTGAACTGGCGCCCATGTGGGATGCCGCACTGCAGGTGGCGGCTTTACTCGCTGTGCCGCAGCGCTGGCTCCAAGAGATGTAAATTTGTAATGATCAAGGCAGGATTGCACGTTTTGACGAGCGCTGTGGAAGACAGCAGAGAATGCCAGGTGAGATGTGTGTGGTAGAGGTGGCATGGGCCTCTGAGGAGTGACATTGACACTTAGACCCTAAGTACCTGGCACCTGCTGTGTGCCCGGCCCTGGTGCTGGGAATAAGCCGGTGAGAGACAGGCACAGTGTTTGTCCTCACACCACGTAGAGATGTGGGAGAGGGACAGAGGGGCACATTCTATATTTGTGTTCCATTGAGAAAAAGGAAGTGGGCAGGGAAGCAGTGGTAAATATTTTGTGCATGATGGTTAGAGGAACCTGAAGAAGAAGTTTGGGTGTGAAAGAGGCAAGTGCTGTTAAGATCATTCCAGACAGGAAGTGCAAAGGCCCCAAGGCAGGAGCTGCTGGAAGTGTGAGGACCAGGTTGAGGGGGAAGCCAGAGTGATTGAAGGCTCGCTGTGCCGGGGATCCCGGGGGGTGCAGGCGGGCAGGATCTGTCACCACAGGTGCCAGGCTCAGGGTGGGCATGGCAGGAGGGGGCGCCAAGGACTCCCCCACACTTCAGGCCTGAGCACGAGGTTAGGCGGGGTTGTGGAAGGAGGAGGGGTGAGTTGGAGGTGAGGTTGGTGGCCTGGAGCTGTCTGCAGGCCTGTGCTGACGGTTGCTGTGGATCCGAGAGCCGTGTTGGGAGCAGTGACGAGTGTGAGCCTCCCACATTAGCTCCGAGTTCCAGCACAGCCCCTGGAGTCCCCGGAGTCCGCGCCCTGCAGTGCAGAGCTGGGGACAGGAGGGAGACCTGGAATTCCTGTGCCCCTAGGACGACAGGAAGAGGCGGTTCCTGGGCACCGAGGGTGGCGGCGTGGGCCTTTTGTGGCCTTTCCTGGTAACTTCTACGAAGTCTCCACCCTGCTCTGGTCTGAGGCCTCTTTCCTGGGCTAACCACACCTGCAGGGAACTGAAGGGGGCTGCTGTCTACACTGCAGGGGTGGTTCGGAGTTGGGAGTGAGTCCTGCAGCCTCCTAGCCTGGGGCCATCCAAAGCACCCGCTGTGGTGGGGGCTGGGGGGGAGACGGGCCCTAGTCCCAGCTCCTGGCGGTCAGCAAGGACAGCCGCTCGAAAACTTGCTCTGACTGAAACAGGCAAATTCCTCTCGCAGGAACAAGGGCTCAGCGCCTCCCAGCAGCTGGCGGCCGGGATGGGGCAGCTCAGCCCCCCCCCCCCCCCCAGGGTCTGCTGAGGCTGGGTCGGGCGGAGAAGCGCCTGCCAGCCTGCTCTGGGAGGAGAGGGAGGGGGCTGGGCCGACTGAGCCCCTGCTGGCTTCCGAGCGCCTCACCAGGTGGGCCAGTCTCCTGGACAGAGAAGCGACCCTGTGACATCACACAGCCCGCCCCTCTGTCTCCAGCAGGGAGCGCAGACTGTGGGCTGGTGTGGGCTGCGTCATCTCAGGTTAGCCCGGCCCACAACCCGAGGAGGTGGCGCTTGCTGTGAAGGGAAGAGGAAAACCCAGCCCCTGTCCTGCCCTGCCGGGGAAGAGCGCTTCTCCAATGAGGAGCAGGAATGCCAGGAGCGTGCAGGAACGTGCCGCCGGCCCCGTCCTGCAGGCTGGGTGCGTGCCTGTTCTACGCGCTCAGAACCGGGCGAGCGTGAACTCCAGCAGCTCGGCCTGCACGGTCCTCTGGGCGCTCTTGTGGAAAGTGCCCTTTGTCCTGAGTGAGGGGAGGCGGCAGGGCCCTGGCGCCCTGGAAGCCCTGGCTCCCAGCTTCGGGGCTCCGTCTGTGAGAAGGAGTTGTTGGTCACACCTGAGCTGGGTGAACTCTGCACGGTCCCAGTGCTTGCTGTCCCGGGCCATCCAGAGGCTCACGTGGGACCCAGCACGCAGGAAGGAATGCAAACAGGGTCACCGTCGTCACTTCCTGCCCTCGCAGGGGCGGGCCTGGGCGGGCGGCAGTCACCAGACCCTGCAGGGCCCCAGTGGCTCGGTGCTTACAGCGGTCTTGCTTTTGCAGTTCTGCGTGTGGACACGTTCATATTTTCCTGGTTAAAGAATTCTGTGTATTAATTCAGCCCAGCCCTGCAGGTTTTTATGCGGCTGAAAAGAATCGTGAGGATGGAAAGTTTGTTGTCAAAGATGACAACATGGTGGGTGACGGAGGTGCAGCCTCCAGACGCACACCTGGGGTTGACAGCGATAACATCTGAGCGTTGTAAGCGCCGCCGGCGGGGGTGGGCCGCCTCCGACTCCACGTGTCTGCCCGGGGGAGGGGGGGCCGGGGGGGAGGCTTTGGTAAAGCCAATCAAGGCAAATACGAGGGTACATCAAGAAGTTGGTGAGGAAATGCAATTAAAAGTTTGTTTTGGTGCAAAAACACCAAAAATCCATGCTTTTTTATAACATACATTTCCCATGAACTTTTGAAACCCCCTTGTATGCTTATATTTAAACATCTTTTTGTGGGAGCCAAGCATTGTGATACAGCAGGTTAAGCCACTGCCTGCAGTACCAGCATCCCATATGGGCGCTGGTTCAAGTCCCAGCTGCTCCACTTCCAATCCAGCTCCCTGCTAATGCTCCTGGGAAAGCAGCAGAAGGTGGCCCAGGTACTTGGGCCCCTATGCCTACGTGGGACAGCCGGATGAAGCTCCTGGCTCCTGACTTTGGCCTGGCCCAGCCCTGGCCGTTGTGGCTGTTTGGGAGTGAACCAGCAGATGGAAGATTCTCTCTTTCTCTGTTTCTCCCTCTCTGTAACTCTGCCCTTCAAATAAATAAAATGAATCTTAAAAAAAAAAAAAAATCTTGGGGCAGAAGCTGTGGCCTAGTAGGCTAAGCCTCCACCTGCAGTGCCAGCATCCCATATTGGCACCAGTTTGTGTCCTGGCTGCTCCTCTTCCGATCCAGCTCTCTGCTGTGGCCTGGGAAAGCAGTGAAAGATGGCCCAGGTGCTTTGGCCCCTGCACCCACATGGGAGACCTGGAAGAAGTTCCCAGCTCCTGGCTTTGGATCTGCCCAGCTCTGGCCATTGCAGCTGTTTGGGGAGTGAACCAGTGGATAGGAGACCTTTCTCTCTGTCTCTCCCTCTTTTCTGTAACTCTCAAGTAAATAAATTTTTTAAAAATGTTTATTTGAAAGGCAGAGTTATGTAGAGGCAGAGAGAAAGAGAGAGATCTTCCATCAGCCAGTTCACTCCCCAGATGGCTGCAATGGCCAGAGCTGGGCCAATCGGAAACCAGGAGCCAGGAGCTTCTTCCAGGTCTCCCACACGGGTGCAGGGGCCAAGGACTTGGGCCGTCTTCTACTGCTTTCCCAGGCCACAGCAGAGAGCTGGATCAGAAGTGGAGCAGCCAGGACTCTGAATTGGTGCCCAGTGGGACGCCAGAACCACAGGTGGCAGCTTTACCTGCTATGCCACAGTGCCGGCCCCTAAGTAAATTTTTAAAAATTTGAAAAAGATTCTTGCACCAAAATAAACTTTTAATTTTTCTGTGAACTTAATAATTTTTAAAATGTTATTTATTTGAGAGGCAGAGAAGCAGAGACAGAGAGCACTTGTTAACTATCCGGATGACAGCCAGTGCAATCCAAGAACTCAATCCACGTCTCCCTGGTGGGTGGCAGAGCCTAATCACTGAGGCTGTCACCACTTCCTCCCAGGGTGCATCAGCGGGAAACTGGAGTCAGGAACTGGGTATCCAGCCTATGCACTCTGGTAAAGAACAATTTGGGACACAGGTATCTTAACTGTTAGGACAAATGTCCACCCCTCTGCACTCCCCAAATGGCTGCAACAGCCAAGGCTGAGCCAGGCTGGAGCCAGGAGACTGGAGCTTCCTCCAGGTGCAGGGGCCCAAGGACTTGGATCATCTTCCACTGCTTTCCCAGGCACACTTCCAGGAAGCTGGATCGTAGTGGAGCAGCTGGAATAGAGCTGATGCCCGTATGGGATGCTGGCGTCTCAGGTGGTGGTTAACCTGCTACACCACAGTGCCAGCCCCTCCAGGAACTCTTTGGAAGACCCTCCTACGCCACAGGATCCGTGCATGGCTCAGCTTTCTTCTTTCCAAGGGAAAATGACTTCCCAACGCTCACTAAAGAGAAAGCTGTGCTTTCTGGACCTGGATAGGACATGGCCGCTGTCAGTCCTGTGCCCACCTGTCCTTGGTCCTGTGCACACCTGACCTTGGCCATGTGCACACCTGTCCTTGGTCCTGGGCATACTTGTCCTTGGCCCTGTGCACACCTGTCCTTGGTCCTGTGCACACCTGTCCTTGGCCCTGGGCACACCTGTCCTTGGCCCTGGGCACACTTGTCCTTGGTGCTGTGCACACCTGTCCTTGGTCCTGTGCACACCTGTCCTTGGTCCTGTGCACACCTGTCCTTGGTCCTGGGCACACCTGTCCTTGGCCCTGTGCTTGTCCTTGGTGCTGGGCACACCTGTCCTTGGTGCTGTGCACACTTGTCCTTGGTGCTGTGCACACCTGTTCTTGGCCCTGGGCACACCTGTCCTTGGCCCTGTGCACACCTGTCCTTAGTCCTGTGCACACCTGTCCTTGGTCCTGTGCCTACCTGTCCTTGGCCCTGGGCACACCTGTCCTGGGTGCTATGCACACCTGTCCTTGGCCCTGGGCACACCTGTCCTTGGCCCTGTGCTCACCTGTCCTTGGCCCTGGGCACACCTGTCCTTGGTCCTGTGCACACCTGTCCTTGTTCCTGGGGACACCAGTCCTTGGTCCTCTGCCCACCCATCCTTAGTGCTGTGCACACCTGTCCTTGGTCCTGGGCACACCTGTCCTTAGTCCTGTGCCCACCTGTCCTTGGCCCTGGGCACACCTGTCCTTAGTCCTGTGCACACCTGTCCTTGGCCCTGTGCCCACCTGTCCTTGGTGCTGTGCCCACCTGTCCTTGGCCCTGGGCACACCTGTCCTGGGTGCTATGCACACCTGTCCTTGGCGCTGTGCACACCTTTCCTTGGTGCTGTGCACACCTGTCCTTGGCCCTGTGCACACCTGTCCTTGGCCCTGTGCACACTTGTCCTTGGTGCTGTGCACACCTGTCCTTGGCCCTGGGCACACCTGTCCTGGGTGCTATGCACACCTGTCCTTGGTGCTGTGCACACTTGTCCTTGGTGCTGTGCCCACCTGTCCTTGGTCCTGTGCACACCTGTCCTTGGCCCTGTGCACACCTGTCCTTGGTCCTGTGCACACTTGTCCTTGGTCCTGTGCACATGTGTCCTTGGGGTTCATCCTTCCAGCCCTCGCCATGTGCAGGTTGGAGGCCTCGGGCTGATGGGCCTGCAGCCTGGGTCCCTGACTAATGGGTGGTCAGCCATTAGTGCTGGCACTGGGGACAGCAGGTCACCTGGAGGAAGCTTGTAAAAGATAGCTTGCTAGACGGGCTGAGGATGGTGGCAATCATCTGATGGCTGTGCCTCCGACCTGCCGCTGGGTTGGCCTTGAGCAGTAAACCTGTGCAGGAATCCAGTGAGCCAGGTGCGCAAGCTTGATGAGGGCACCCTCCTCCCTAATGCTCAGTTGGGCTTTCACATCCCTGATCCGGGAAAGACAGCCACCCGGCATGCTTACGCCAGCGTCAATTATCTCCGGCGGGGCCTAATACCATGTCATTAGACGGTGAGTCCGTGGGGCACGCCGCTCAGTGCTACCTGGCTCTGAAACACATCTGAAATTTTAATCATACAACAGATGCGTCAGTACCTGCTCATTGGGAAAGACGCCAAGGATACACGAATATGGTAAAGCCTGGAAAGTTCTCATTAAGGCCCGGCCTCCAAGCCCCTCCTCCTTTCCCAGGAGCCCCTTCGCCGCCCCTCCCCCAGTCTGTTTTCTATGTGTTTGCACACATGAGGTCACAGCACTTACACAGAAATTGTGCATCCTGCTTTCACCAGTTGTTTTAAAATAAATGACGAGGAAGCAGCTGTGGGAATTGTCTGGCACGAGTGGTTCTGGCACAGTTTGCTTGGAGCTCTGACCAGGCCACGCTGCCTGCGTCTACGCGGTGTCTGGGCAGGAGGCCGCTGCATGGCTGCATGGCCACTTACCTGATCCTCTGTTAATGCATTTCATCCAAGTTTTTCAATGACTATTTTTTTTAAGAAAATTGTTATTTTTAATTCTGGTAAAATGCACATAAGAGTCAATTTACTGTGCTGAGTGTACAGTGACCTTAAGCACATCATGATGGATGCCATCACCATCATCCGTCTCCTCAGCTCTCAACCCTGTGTCCGTGAACTCCTCGGCTCCCCCTGCCCAGCTCCTGGCAGCCAGCTCTGCTTTTGCTACGGGACGCCCCCAAAGCTGGCGGGAGGAGTGGCTGGGTCCGCTCACCCAGCCAGCCACAGCTGGGGCCCGTGACACAGGGCCCACGGACAAGAGCAGAAGGCAGGTGTGCACAGCAAGGCGCTGAGCAGGGAGCCAGTGGCTACAGTTCCGTTCCTCGACTCCCTGAGGCGCTAAGGCAGTGACCCTACAGTTCAGAGCTGGGGATTGGGTGGCCCTGGGCGTGGTCCCCAGCACACGTGGCCTGCCTTTGGTCAGCCATAGTGTCTGTCCCTTGGAATGGCAAAGGTGGGCTCCAGTCTGCCTGGGGCTGGGGCGGGTTGGGTGCGCCTTTGTTTGATGGGGCCTGGGGGTCCCTGCAAAGCTCTCAAAGAGAGCCTGGCACGGAGGTGTCGCCTGCAGGAGCCCTTGGACTCCTGGGATCAGAGTCTCTTACCTTTGTCACTCCCCTCGCTCAGAGGAGCTGCAAGCCAAGGAAAGGCCTGGGGCTTCTAAAGCCAACATCCGGGCATCGGACGAGGGCCTCTGCTCCACTTCGGCTGCCCTTGCACCTTGTCAGGTGGAATTCTGCGGCGTTCGACTTCTTATGACTGGCTGATTGTCTTTAGGCCATCCGTGTTGTAGCATGTATCGGGATTTCCTTCCATTCAAAGCTGAATAATATTCAATTGCACAGGGAAATGGGGGGCTTCAAAAAGTTTTTGGAAAAATGGAATTAAAGATGATTTATTTTGGTGCAAAGAAAACGTTTGAAATCCATGCATACTCTTTTCATGATCTGCATTTTCCATCAACTTTTTGAAGACCCCTGAAACCCCATTTTGCCTTTGTGTTTGTCCGTAGACACTTGCTTTGCACCTTCTGTTTTGAATGATGCCGCAGTGAACACGGACACGCAGACCTGTCCGAGACCCGCCCTGGCAGTTCTTCCACGCACACACCCGGAAGTGGGGTCACAGGACTCTGTGGCCATTGTCATTGTGGTTTTTGGTGTGTGTTTCTCTGATGGCTGCTGGTGGTGAGCTTCGTTCCCTGCGGCTGTCAGCTGTGTGTGTGCCCGCACTGGACAAACGCTCAGCCCAGTCCTTTGCCCATTTTTGAATCAGGGTTTTGTTGTTGCTGATATTGACAGAGTATTGTTGTTTGTACAGGCCGCACTATTCAGGACAATCTATTAGGGGACAAATTTGAATGTACTTTTTTTTTGCAAGTGTAAATATTTTTAGAGAGTTCTTTGGATCAAAGAGCAGGCACACTTGATGTTTGATTGATAGAACCAAGTTGAGCTTCAGTTTGCTCCCCATCCCAGTCAACAATACTGATTATGGTCAGACTTTTGACTTCTTCTTGGGAGAGAGAGGGGAACTCCCGTCTGCTGGATCACTCTCCAATTGCTCATCATGGCTGGGACTGGGCCAGCAGGAGCCTGGAGCCAGGAACTCAGCCCAGGTGTCCCATGTTCTTGGCAGGGACCCAACGACTTGAGCCATCACCGCTGCCTCCCGGAGTCTGCATTAGCAGGAAGCTGGAGTTGGGACCCACACCAGGGATGGAATTTAGGGACTTGGATGGGGGACATGGGCGTCCCGCTCAGCAGCTTCACTGCTAGGCCAAACACCTGTCTCAGCTTTTAAATTGTTGCTGAAAAATCTTTAATGTGAAACAGTGTGTGAAGATCTGGTGAAAATGCGCCTGGGCATTGAAGGTCAAGGTTGTTCGCCAGGACTGCACTGGCTGGGTTTCCTTCTGCCTGATCCCCGAGGTGACCTCTCCCATGAATTCACTGCAGTGGAGGGAATCGGCTTTTGGATTATGATTTTCAAGCTGTGCAAGGTGCAACGCTGCGCAGTCGGATTTCGAGAGCTGCTGGAGGCACCTCAGGGAGCGGCTGGCAGTTCCCGGCCTCAGCTCCTACAGAGGAAAGTTAGAGTAGCCTTATCAAACCTTACCAGAACACACTGCTGGGGTTTTCATTGGGATTGCATTGCATCTGCAGGCGAATTTGGATAACAGTGATGTTTTTCTGATAGCTAACTTGTCCAGGAATAGAGAATACCCTCCATTCATTTACCTGTTCTTTAATACCCACTGTCCTCCAATAAAATCTGTAATTTCTCCCTCAAGGGTTTGCACATCTGTTGTCAATGTATTAAGTCCCCTTCCCCTGTTTCCCTTCCTTGCTTTCTCTCTCTTCTTATGTATTTTTTATTATTGTTAAAGATTTGTTTTTATTTGAAAGTCAGAAATACAAAGAGAGAAGGAGGGAAAGAGGGAAGGAGGGAAGAAAGGGAGGGAGGGAGGGAGGGAGGGAGGGAGAGAGAGAGAATGAATATCTTCCATCTGCTGGTTCACTTCCCAAATGGCTGCAATGGGCAGGGCTGGGCCAGGCTGAAGCCAGGAACCAGAGCTGCTTCTCACACGGGTGTAGGGGCCCAAGCACTGGGGTCATCTTCTGTAGCTTTCCTAGGTGCATTAGCAAGGAACTGGATCAGAAGTGGAGCAGCCAGGACTTGAACCTGGGCCCTTATGGGATGCTGGCATCACAGGTGGCGGCTTAACCTGCTACGCCACAACACCGGCTCCTTCTAATATCGTCCGTACCTTTAAACTACTGCTTTCTGAGTGTTTCTGGCATGTGGAAATGCAGATGCTTTTATATATTAATCGTGTATCCAGTCTTTAAAAACTCTCTACCATAATTTAGTTACAGAATAGTTTGACCTTTTTATGGAGATACTCATATCTGTAACTGATACAGTTTGCTTCTCTCTTTCCAAGCAGTTTTATTTCTCTTGCCATTCTATCCTGGTTCGGATCCCTAGCACGATGTTAAATACAGGAGCCACAGTAGATACTTCATGTCATGCAAGATTTTAAGGAAGCAAAATGTAACATTTGGTGTAGATTTAAATTTCTCTTTATTTGGGGGGTATACGGGATACTTCAAAAAGTTCACGGAAGGGCCGGTGTTGTGGCACAGCAGGTTAAGCTGCCTCCTGCAACACTGGCATCCCATATGAGTGCCGGATTGCTAATGCGGCTGGGGGAGCAATGGGCGATGGCCTGAATGCTTCTGTTCCTGACACCCATGCGGACGACCCAGATGGCGATCCAGGCTCCTGGCTTCAGCCTGGACCAGTCCCAGCTGCTGTGGCCATTTGGGGAGTGAACCAGTAGATGGAAGATCTCTCTCTCCCCTCTGTTGGGTCTTAGCCCACCCAAACGAGGATGGACTGGGTCCGAAGAAAGGTAAGTGCGCCACTCGCCCATTCCCCAGCCTCCCGATCCCGGAGACAGTCAGACGCAGCAGGGAGTCAAGTCAGGCAAGCAAGAACTCCGTTTATTGCATGTGTAGCAAAGCCTTTTAAAGCACAAGACCGCAGGATTAGTGGGGCAGGGCATAAGGACCAACCAATTACTTAAAAGGTCATTTTACAGGGTGATTTTTTACAGGACCAGCCATATGTCTGTACACTCGTCATCAGTTGTCACCTCCCCTGATGCTGCGCGGCCAATCAGCTTTGGTGGTAAATGACTTTGGGCACCATCTTTGAATTGCCGTGTGTGCCTGATTTCCCTGCAGGCACCATCTTTGAATTGCCTCCTGTGCCTAATTTCCCCACATCCCCCTCTCATTTTGTACTCTGCCTTTCAAATCAATCAATAAATAAAGCTTTTATTAAAAATTTCATGGAAAATGGAATTGAAAGTGTGAGTTTGGGGCTGGTGCTCTGGCATAGCAGGTAAAGCCACCACCCGCAGTGCTGGCATCCCCTATGGGAGTCCCAGCTGCTCCAATTCGGATCCAGCTCCCTGCTATGGGGTGGGAAAGCAGTGGAAGGTGGCCCAAGTCCTTGAGCCTCTGCACTCACGTGGGAGACCTGGAAGAAGTTCCTGGCTCCTGGCTTCGGATTGGCCCAGCTCCAGTTGCATCCATTTAGGGAGTGAGCCAGCAGATGGAAGACCTCTCTCTCTGCCTCTGCCTCTTTGTAACTCTGCCTTTCAAATAATAATAAATAAATCTTTTTTATTTAAAAAAAGGTACGACGTTATAGGTGCAAATTTTTTTTGATGCAAAACTTTTTTTCATAGCATAAAAACATATGGCATGTAAGAACTATGCATGGATTTCAAAATTGTTTTTGCACCAGAATTTATATTTTTAAAAGAGATTTATTTATTTGGAAGAGAAAGAGGGTCTTCCATCTACTGGTTCACTCCCCATGGTTGCAACAGCTAGGTCTGTGCCAGACCAAAGCCAGGAACTCCATCCTGGTCTCACATGTGGGTGGCAGTCACCAAGTATCTGGCTCATCCACCGCCTTCCTGGCACATTAGTGGGGAACTGGATCAGCAGTAGAGCAGCCCGGACTTAAACTGGCGCTCCGACATGGGATGCTGGCGTTCCAAGCAGCAGGTCCACCCGCTGTGCCATAACACCTGCCCCTAATTTATAATTTTTATTTATTTGAGAGCCAGAGAGAGAAACAGACAAAGCTCACATCCATAGATTCAGTCTCCAAAAGCCTGCAGTGGCCAGGGCTGGGCCAGACCAAAGCTAGGAACCAGGGATGCCATCTGGGTCTCCCAGGTAGGTAGCAGGGACCTAGGTCCTTGAGCCTCCCAGGGTGTACATTAGCAGGAAGCCAGAAAAGAGAGTGGAGCCAGGATGTGGACCCAGGGACTCCGTTATGGCATGCAGGCCTCCCCAGATGGCCACAACAGCTGGATAATATTACCAGGAGGCTGGGACAGGAAACAGAGCCAGGACTTGAACCCAGGCACTCTGAGGTGGGTGCAGGTGTCCCCAGGTGGTGGTGATGTTGTTGTTTTGACAGGCAGAGTTAGACAATGAGAGAGAGAGACAGAGAGAAAGGTCTTCCATTGGTTCACCCCCCAAATGGCCGCTACGGCCGGCGTGCTGCGCCGATCAGAAGCCAGGAGCCAGGTACTTCCTCCTGGTCTGCCATGGGGTGCAGGGCCCAAGCACTTGGGCCATCCTCCATTGCACTCCCTGGCCACAGCAGAGAGCTGGCCTGAAAGAGGAGCAACCGGGACAGAATCCGGCACCCCGACCGGGACTAGAACCCGGGGTGCGGCGCCACAGGTGGAGGATTAGCCTAGTGAGCCGCGGCACTGGCCCCCAGGTAGTGTTTTAACCACTGTACCGAGTTTGTCTTTTCCATCCTCTTATTTTCCACCTGGGGGAGATACTACTCCCTGGCTACTGACTACTCATTGCTAATATTCTTTCTTGTCTACTTTAAAAAAATAATTTGAGAGTGAGAGAAAGGAGAGTGACAGATACCGCTCCATCCACTGCTTCATTCCAAAGGGGCCTGCAGTAGGCGGGGCTGGGACTCCAGCCAGGTCTCCCACACAGGGGCCGAAACCCAAGCCCTGGAGCCATCGCAGCTGCCCTGGGGTCCGCTGCAGCAGGGGCTGGAAACCGGAGCCCAGCAGCACACCGCGGTGCTCTGAAGGGGCATGTGGGCGGCTCCACCAGCCTCTGGGCGCTGGCCAGCCGCCTGCCCCCTCTCGTCTCCTGCTCCTCCGCAGACGAGGAGCCACGTCGCAGCCTCTCGCGCGTGGCAGACACAGTTTTGACGACGAAACAGAAGTAGACTGTGGAGAGGTCTGCGGAAGTTCTTCCCTGCCTCAGCAAGGCCCAGGTGTGGCTTCTTGCTCCTCGCTGGCTTCGGTGCGGATGCAAGGCCCGCAGGCTTGGCGTCCGCCGGGGACCCTCAGAGGAGGCCGGGAGACGGGCAGGGACACGGTCCCGCCCCTGCAGAGCCAGCACCAGCAGCTGCACACACAAGGGAAATCAAGACAGCGAAGGCAGGGCTGGGTCTGTGACTTGCACTCCAGGGCGGTCTCCACACACAGGCTGCCCGGGTCCTTTGTATATGGACTTGTTAGCGTCTCTGGATACCTCTTTTTAAATAGGAATTGAATTCATCCCCCCCACCCCACCCGTCTGCTTCTTGGTCTTGGTTTTCTTTTCAGTTTATGTTAAATTTTCATTTTTTTTTTTTTCCATTGGCCATTTAACATTTGTTTGCAAGTGGCTCGGAGGCTGTGTGTCCGGCTTCTGCAAGCCTGGGTAACGTCCCAGTCATTTCTCTGTGCGGTGTTCTGCTTTCTGCCTGAAGTCCACCGATCCTTCTGTGTACAGCGACCAGTGTGTCGACAACCCCATAAACCACACCTTTTCCCCAGATACTATATTTTTCAGTTCTAGGGTTTCTACCTTTTTAGTGGTTTTACATCACTCCTGAAAATGTCCTACATCTTCACCTCTTGTATCCAGCTTTTCCCATAAACTGTTTAGTGTATTTATGATTATTTTAGAGTCTTTGATAATGAATTCTAGCTGAGTTCCCTGTGGGTCTGTTTCTTTTCTTTCTTTTTTTAAAAATTTGTTTATTTGAAAGAGGGGAGAGAGAGGGAGGGAGAGAGAGAGATAACTTTCATCCACCGGCTCACTCTACAAATAGCTCTAATACCCAGGGCTGGGCCAGGCTGAAGCCAGGAGCCTGGAACTCCATCCGGGTCTCCCACATGGGTGGCAGGGGCCCAAAGACTTGGGCCATCTTCCGTGCATTAACAGGGGGCTGAATCGGAAGCGGAGTAGCTGGGACTCAAACTAGAACCCATATGGGATGCTAGCACTACAGGTGGTGGCTTTACCCACCGTGCTACAACACCTGTCCCTTTAAAATAATTTTTTCTTTCTTTTTTGTGTGTGTCGGTTTGCTTTTTCTCCTTGATTATTGGATGCATATCCCTGCTCTTTGCACGTCTTGCAAATTGTGGTCACAGAGCGAACAGTGTGGAAGTAGTACAGCAGCCTCTGCCACTCACTTCTGTCTGGAAGTGAGTTCACCTTGACCTTGGGGCTTCGCTTCCTGGCTGTAGGACGACAGGTGCATGTCCTTTTCCTCCAGTTTGGGCTGGGGCCGTCGCTTCTCAAACATCGCCTTTTCGAAGCCTCTCTGTCTGCATTGCCGGGCGATGGGCAGCCCTGAAACCTCCGCTCAGTTTCTGGAATGTTCTTGCAGTCACTGGGCCCCTTGGAGTCTTGACCGCGCCGCACAGCTGGCGACTCAGCCAAATGTCCCGGGGCTCTCTGTGCCGGGCGCTGGGCTGCCCCCTCCCCCAACTTCCAGCCCCCCTGGCAGCCCTGAAATCCCACTGTCCGTGGTCAGGGAGCCGGTGCGGGAGGCTGGCCACGCACGGAGAGCCCCTCGTTTGTTTTCCTTCTTCTGAGGGCACTGGCTGCTTTCCAGAACCTTCCGACAGATGTGCTTCTAAAATATTCTGTCCCGAGTTTGTAATTGTCGTAGGCAAGATGGGTCATCGGATGCCAGTTTCTCTGCTACTACTCGAAGTGGAATTTGGCTTCTCAATTTTTAATATGCACTTAATAAAATTCAATAATGTCCCCAATTAATCAGTTCTTTTTCTTGAGAAAGGCAAGCCTGTCTTTGGTCTGCTTTCACTTCACTTCTCAGTCTCCTTCCTGATTTAATCTGGGATCCTGGTTCTTCTGTTATTCATTTTTTCTTTTAAGATTTATTTATTTATTGAAAGTTAGAGTTAGAGAGAGGAAGAGAGAGAGAATATGAATCTTCCATCTGCTGGTTCACATCTGATGGCCACATTGGGCTGGGGCTGGGCCAGGCAAAAGCCAGGAACCAGGAGCTTCCTCCTGGTCTCCCACGTGGGTTAGGGGCCCAGGTCCTTGGGCCGTCTTCCGCTGCTTTCCCAGGCCATTAGCAGGGAGCTGGATCAGAAGTGGAGCAGCCGGGACTTGAACTGGCGCCCAGATGGGATGCCGGTGTCAGAAGTAGCGGCCTTACCTGCTGCGCCACAGCGCTGGCCCGTCTTATTCATGTTTTAGTGCTGCACAAACAGTCACTTAAACTCAACCAGGGGTACTCACCACTGCCCTGGGCTGCCTGTCTCCCGCTTCTGGGAATGTTACTTGTGGGGCCGGGGGTGGTCTGAGGCGCCCTTTACAGAGGAGACCTGAGGGACAGGCTCTCCGGGGGTCGGGGTCTCCAGGGGTCGGGGTCTCCAGGGGTTGTGGTCTCCGGGGGACAGGATCTCCGGGGGTCAGGGTCTCTGGGGGTCGGGGTCTCCAAGGGACGGGCTCTCTGAGGGTTGCGGTTTCCAGGGGTCGCGGCGTCTCCGAGGGTCGTGGTCTCTGGGGGACGGGATCTCCAGGGATCGGGGTCTCCGAGGGTCGCGGTCTCCGGGGGACGGGATCTCCAGGGGTCGGGGTCTCTGAGGGTAGCTGTCTCTGGGGAATGGGGTCTCTGAGGAACAGGGTCTCCGAGGGACGGGGTCTCCGAGAGTCGGGGTCTCAGGGTCGCGCTCTCTGTAGGACTCACTGTTCACCTGCGGTGCTCTGAGGTGTGAAGTGCGTGGCTGCGTGGCCCTGTCTCCCAGTGCCCTTTGGGGACCTGCGTGCGCCCTCTTGTTGTCCGGAAGGTTCTGGCTTTCACGGAGCTCCCCCCACGGGAAGGCCTTTGCCCTTCTGCAGGGCTGGGACGTTCCTTCTGTTATGTTCTGGTTTCTTCTATGCCGCCCCATTTCTTTCCCAAATCCTAAATGTCTCGGAACTTCGTCCCGCTCCGTCATTCGGTGCTTAGACACCCCCGCAGCTGTTCCTGTTTCCTGGACATACTATTCTGTCCACTGCCCGGGAACGGTTGTAAGAGGTTTGTTTGTGAAATGCTCCGTGGGCTTACTCTTCATTTGTTGAGTTTCAGGCCTTTTTGATACTAATTTTCCTCAAATGCTCGCTGTTTGGGAAAAGACCTATTTCTTTGAAAGGCAGAGTAACAGAGAGGAGGGGCGCGCGCACACACACACACACACACACACCCCTTCATCCTCTGGTCTACTCAAATTCCTGCCACAGCCGAGCCTGGGCCAGGCCAAAGCCAGGAGCAAGGAACTGCATCGGATCTCCCACATGGATGGCAGGAACCCAGGCACTTGAGCCGTCCCTGCTGCCTCCCAGGGTCCAAATGAGCAGGAAGCTGGATGGAGGGAGAGCTGGGCTCCAACCCAGGCTCTGCAATGTGCGATGTGGGGGTCCCAACCGGCAGCTCCCCCTGCTGTGCCGCGACACCACCCCTTCATTTTTTATGTAACAGTTTATTTATTTGGACAATGTCCCCCAAGTACTTTTTTTAAGAAAAGATTTGTTTATTTATTTATTTGAAAAGGAGAGTTACGGGGCACAGGGATGGGCAGGGGGCGGGCCAGAGAGAAAGAGATCGGAAGTGGAGCAGCTGTGACTCAAACTTGAGCTCATCTGGGTCGGCGGCATCACAGGCGGCGGCTTAACCCACTCTGCCACAATGCCGGCCTCGCCCCTTAGTTCTTTTTGAAATACTTTTATTAATCTGAGGGACACAGATGGAGAGACAGACAGAGGACTCGCATCCCCTGGTTCACTCCCCAGATGCCCACACTGGCCAGGGCTACGCCAGGAGATAGGAACTCAAAGCGAATGACAGGGACCCGAGCACTTGAGTCATCTGCTGTCTCCCAGGACCTGCATTAGCAGGAAGCTGGAATCAGAAGCAGAGCCAGGACTCGAACCCGGGCCCTCTGCTCCAGGTGCCAGCTTCCCAGGCAGTGTCTCATCTGCTAAGCCAAACACCTACTCCTCCCGAATTCGGAACTTGAGTGAAATCCCTACCTGGAGCCCATCATGGAGAAGTGAGGCGATGAACACCGCCAGCACGTTTACGTAGATGTCTTCTACGTCCGCCACAGCCTGATCAGCGCAGCTGGTGTGTACACGACACAGCAGCGTTTTATGTGCGACGGAGGGTGTGGCCTTTATGTATGATTCAGAAAGAATCATGGAGTTTGTATGGCTGGAATTGGGCACTTGGGTGGGGACCAAGCAAGGACAGGATTATAATGTGTCCTCAGAGGACGGGGGCACCTCTCCTTGCCCGTGCCACAGCTGTTCAGGGAAAACCCGAAGTCCACAAAACCAGTCGAGTGTGGCTACTGGCTCACATGGGCTTTCAGCAAGCAACTTAAGAAAAAAAAAATTCCTGTAAGTAGGAGTTGTCCACGGATGCCGGCTGCAGGTTTTAGGGGAGGAAACTGGAGGCGAAGGTTCAGTTGAGCGAATCGGTTTCTGTGTGTTTCTGAGCGGCGTCCCGGGGGCCAGACGCCACGGGCAGTCCACCCTTGCTCAAGTCGCAGATTCTTGCAAAAAGGAACAATTGCACTGATTCAGCATCAACAAGTCTTGGAAGGGGAGAAAAATGTGGCTTCAAAAACAAAAACAAAAACAGATTTCTGGCTGCGGGCCTCCGAAGCCTCCCACACAGCTGGAGTTCCCGACAGGATCAACAGATGTGGTATCTGTCCACAGAGCAGCCGCGGCAGGAAGCTGCAGCCTGGAGATGCCCGCGTCCCTCGCGGGAGGGCCCGGGCTCCAGTCACCACTCTGCTCCTGACTCTAGCTCCCCGCTCCTGTGGACCCAGGGAGGCAGCGGGTGACGGCTCAAGGACTCGGGGCCCAGCCACCCACATGGAAGACCCGGACTGAGTTCCCGTTTGCTGGCTTCAGTCTGGCCTGGGCCGGCCCTTGCAGGCATTGGAGGAGCGAGCCACAGATGGAAGATCTCTGTGTCTCTCTCTGTCTCTCTGCTTCTCTAATCAACGTATAATGCACTAAAGAAGCTTAACTGAAGGGGAAGAAAGCAGCAGGCCTGAACGGCCGAGGCAGCTTTGATCCTAGTGGGAGTGACCGTGTTGCTGTGCTCCGTCCAAGGGGCCTTTCTGCGACACTGGCTCTCTTGGTTCCAGGGCTGGTCCTGACACCATGGTACGATGTGATTCGTGTGCCCGGTGCCGTGCCTGGCAGTCTGCAGGCTCCTGACAAGTGTCAAGGCCATCTGCCCCCGAGTGCTAGCCGCTGGACTCCCCGTGTGATGGGACAGCTGGCGAGACACAGCCACACTGTGTGGACACAGAGCCGCCACCCTGCGGCCCCATGTGGGCCGGGCCACAGAGGCGACAGCAAAACCGAGAGGCAAGGGCACAGATCAGGGCTTGAAACTCACACAGGAAGCTCCGGTTGGGTCAACACGTGTGTTATCTCCTGAACGTGGGCCTTCAGGTTTGGATCTGAAGCTCGGAGGGGCCTGCCCCAGGCCGGCCCCCGTGCCGGTGGTGACACCGGGCCCTGCTATCTTCAAGCTCCCAGCCTGGGCGAGCGCAGGCACCTGGGCTCCTGCAAACACCAGACGTGTAATTAGAGGCCCGGGGCGGGCCGAGGCGGGGCGCAGGCAAGTCTCATCCTGCGCGTGAGCTGCTGTGGGCGCTCGCAGTCGCCCCTGCAGCCGGCAGCTGGCAGGCAGAGGCACCCATTACTCAGCCAGCGGCAGAAACCGTCCACCGGCTCCTGCTCCGCCAAGAACTCCCATCAATTACTGAGTAGAAACACTGTGTACAAGGACGCTGGTTCAGCCAAGAACATCAGGACAGCCAGGAATTCAAAATATACAAAATACAGCTTCCTGTGTGTTGCGCCCGAGGCGGCTCCAGGGCCCCAGCCAGGAAGACACGACTCATTCCGACTTGCACAAGAGGGGCGGGCCCCACAGGCGGGCAGTCCCAGGGGAAGGCGCTGGGCTAAACCCTCATGACTGCAAAATGAAGAAACACGCATGAGGCATGCGATTACGATGTTTATTTGACGCAGATCCAGAATTATTTCCAAGGAATGAAGGTGCTGGCTTCCTCCAGAGAGGGGACCGGTTCCTGGGGGCCAGTGAGTTTTCTCTTTGGTGTGCGTGGGGTCCAGGGAGGGGGTGGGGAACTGTGGATTTATGTGCCTTTGTGGGTGTGCTAGGGGTCTACCTGCTTGGGGTGCCTGGCAGGATCCTGGAATCACAGGGTCAGGGATGATGGCATGAGAGAAGCTGCCAAGCCAACAGCCCGCCGGCAGCACCTTTGCCAAGACAGGTGCAGACCAGGACTTGGAAGGGAGTGCTTCCTGTCCACACCTGAGCCCCTCCCCACACTCAAGCCCCACCTACTGCCGTGTGACAGAGGATGCTGGAGAGTGAGTGACAGTTACAGGGCTTCTCTATGCAAATGATTTCCACAGGGATAGATAAACATCCACACCAAGTATGTTTGCCACTCAGGATTCCGGGCCGATAACGTGAAAGCAGAGGCGCGTATGTTTAAACATGCTCTCATAACAGATTCTTAGTGCTTAGGTAGAGGGATCGTGAAGTTCCATGCACTCAAGTGAAAAGCAAGCATGAAAATTCACACCCTTGCGACAATCAGATCGCATGAAACATGGCTGAGTCTTATTGGTTCACAGAGTTACAGCCAAGTTTGCGTGCTTAAGTCCGTTGGTTCACAGATACAACCAAATTTGCATGCCTAAATCCTACTGGTTCACAGTTGCAACCAAAGTTGGACAAGTTTTAATTTCCTCTGTTCTCTCCTACTCACCTCCCCCCTCACCCAACCCCCGATACACACACAAAAACCAAAACTTCTCTTAAAAGTTGTATGATTCCCATGTGGCCAGGAAAAGGGTCAGTGTTTGCCAAATGACCTCATCTGCAAGGAAAAGCAGTCCCCAAGTGTATTTCAGTTTCAACAAAACTTCTTTGCTTAAGGACAAGACTATCTCAAAGCTTTAGCCCTAGAGTAGAATTTATACTTCACCTCTGACGTGCTACACATTTCAGATTTTAAACACATGAAACCTCGAGGTTGTGCGTATCCAGAGGCCTCAAAGGAAACAGCATGGATGAGTTTTCCAGGCTGAGTGTCCCGAGTGGAGCCCAGCAGATCAGTCCTGCCGGAGGTCCCGGCGGGTCCCAGTGGCCCTGGGTCACTGTGTCCTCCGATACAGTGGCCACCATGTATTTCTGCATGGCATTCTATTTTTGAAGTTCTCTTAGGTTTTTAGCAAACAGAATGCAAAACCATCTTTTTTAAAGATTTATTTATTTATTTGAAAGTCAGAGTTACAGAGAGAGAGAAGGAGAGGCAGAGAGAGAGGGAGAGGCAGAGAGAGGGGGAAAGAAAGAGAGAGAGAGAGAGGTCTCCCATCCGATGGTTCACTCCCCAACTGGCTGCAATGGCTGGAGCTGCTCCAATCCAAAGCCAGAAGCCAGAAGCTTCTTCCGGGTCTCCCACACGGGTGCAGGGGCCCAAGGAGTTGGGCCATTTTCTATTGCTTTCCCAGGCCACAGCAGAGAGTTGGATGGAAGTGGAGCAGCCAAACTCAAACCGGCGCCCATATGAGATGCCGGCACTGCAGGTGGTGGCTTTACCCGCTACGCTACAGCACCGGCCCCAAAACTAATTTTTTAAAAGATTTATTTTATTGGCTGGCGCCGCGGCTCACTTGGCTAATCCTCCACCTGCGGCGCTGGCACCCCGGGTTCTAGTCCCGGTTGCTCCTCTTCCAGTCCAGCTCTCTGCTGTGGCCCGGGGAAGGCAGTGGAGGATGGCCCAGGACCTTGGGCCCTGTACCTGCATGGGAGACCAGGAGGAAGCACCTGGCTCCTGGCTTCAGATCGGCACAGCGCTGGCCGTAGCGGCCATTTGGGGGGTGAACCAACGGAAGGAAGACCTTTCTCTCTGTTTCTCCTCACTGTCTAACTCTGCCTGTCAAAAAAAAAAAAAGATTTATTTTATTTATTTGAAAGGCAGAGTTAGAGAGAGAGAGGGAGAGGCAGAGAGAGAGAGAAATTTCCCATCCACTGGTTCACTCCCCAGATGACTGCAAAGGCCAGGGCTGGGTCAGACTGCAGCCAGGAGCCAGGAGCTTTTTTCAGGTTTCCTACATGGGCGCAGAGGTCCAAGCACGTGGGCCATCTTCCACTGCTTTCCCAGGCACACTGGCAAGGAGCTGGGTCAGGAGAGGAGCAGCCAGGACCCAAAGCGGCCCCAGTGCAGAATATGAGCTTTGTAGGCAGCAGCTTTAACCACTATGCCAGGACGCCAGCCCCCAAAACTAACTTCTCACTCATTTTTTAAAAAAAATATTTATTTATTTGAAAGGCAGAGATAGAGAGAGAGAGGGAGATACACAACACACACACACACACACACACACACACAGAGAGAGAGAAACAGACCTTCCATCTGTTGGTTCGTTCTCCAAATGTCTACAACAGCCCAGGCTGGGCTGGGCAGGGCCGGAGCCAGGAACCAGGAACTTCTTCTGGGTCTCCCATGTGGGTGAGGGACCCAAGCACTTGGGCCATCTTCCTCTGCTTTCCCAGGCACATTAGTAGAGAGTATTGGAAGTGGAGCAGCCAGGACTCGATCCGGCACCCATGTGGGATGCTGGTGTCACAGGCCATGGCTTTACCAGCCATGCCACAAGGCAGGTCCTCTAAATTCATTTTAAAAAGCAGGACCTAAGTTCATTTATTACAGGAGTTTGAGTGACGGAGAGTGAGCCCTCCCATCCACTGGTCCACTCCTCAAATGACCAGAGCAGCGGAGGCTGCACCAGGGTGGAAGCCGGAGCCAGGAGCGCACTCCAGGTCTCCTGTGGGGGTGACAGGAACTGAACTGCTTGAGACACCTGAACTGCTGCTCCCCCGCATCTGCAGGAGTCAGGAGGAGCCGGGACTCAAACACGGGTGCCCCGCGTGGGCACGGGAGTCTGACCGCCAAGCCACACACTCACTCCCCTCTAACAGTTTTGATAGTCATGATTTCTACAGGAAACGAGTATTATGTCAGTGCCAATTTCCTGGCTTTGATAATCAGATGTTATCACTGGGGGATGGTGGTAACAGGTGCAGGGAACTTCTATTTTTGAAATTTCCTGTGAGCTTATAATTATGTCAAGATAAAGGTAAAAAACAGAAACTGTGTGTGACGCAACTGTGCTGGGGAACTTGTTTATTTTTAAGATGAAGTTCCATCTACTCCCAAACAATCGTGCAGCGAAATAATCCAATCAGAGAATAGCTCATTATATTAATATTCTTGAACTAGTAGATATCTGGATATGGGTCTCCCGCTAGTCAACTATGACTGGATCCGGAAGACTATTGGGCCGGGATTGGGTGCAATGGTTAAAATGGCACTTGGGATGCCCACATCCCATATCGGAGTGCATGAGTTCAAGTCTCGCTTCAGCTCCTGAGTCCAGCTTCCCGCTGGTGTGCAGCCTTAGAGACAGCAGGGGATGGCTCAAGTACTTGGGTCCCTGCCACCCACGTGGATTGAGTTCTCGGCTTCTGGCTCGGGCCTGGCCCAGCCCAAGGTGTTGCAGGCGTTGAGGGAATGAACCAACGGATGGGAGGCCTCTGTCTCTCAAATAATAATAATAATAATAATAATAAAAGCCTCTAATGGTCTTTTAAAAATAAGGCTGTCTCTGTGAGAAAGCATTCTCTCAAAACTAGCTATTTCTTAAGAAGACATATGTATTTATTTGAAAGGCAGAGCTACAGAGAGAGAGGGAGAGAGAGGGGGAGAGAGGGGGAGAGATATCTTTCATCTTCCGGGTCACTTCCCAAATGGCGGCAACAGCCACGGCTCAGTCAGGCTGAAGCCGGGAGCCTGGAACTCCATCCGGGTCTCCCATGTGAGTGGCAGGGGCCCAAGTACTTGGGTCATCGTCCACTGCCTTCCCAGGTGCATTGGTAAGGAGCTGGATCGGAAGTGGAGCAGCTGGGACCCAAACTGTCACATGCAACGCTGGTGTTGCAGGCTCTGGCTTGCCTGCTGTGCCACGACGCTGGGCCAGGTTCTTAGTTCTCAAAACATAGTTGAAGACATCCCTTGAGACCCAGAGAAATAAGCAACGAGCATTAAACTTCCACTAACATGCTTTTGGGGAATGTAATAAAAATGGAGGACAGGCAACAGATATTTGATTGTTGCAGCTTAGAAACGGGCAAGTTTTACTGCCAATGTCGACGCGATGGACAGGAGAGCCTCCCGGCCTCAGCTTCTGCTTCCGGCCACAAAGCAGCACCCCGTCGTCCACCCGTCAGGTGCCACGCAGAGAGCTGCTGTGGCAGTCACCTGTGTGCTGATGAGGACCTGGGAGGCTGAGTGACTCCTCCACCTGGGAAGAGAAGCCTCCCCTGGACCGCCGGGACAGCAGTGCAGGAGGGGCAGCTGTCCCTGTCTCTGCAGCAGCTCAGAGTGCCGGAAGGGCTGGGGTTGGCGCATGCCACGGAGCCTGTGGACTCAACTTGCTGGCTGAAACCTAAGTTGGCAAATGGCGCTCTGGAGTGTGTGCTAATGGGCTGGCGTCGGCGTGGTGGCGGGCACACTGGCTTGGCCAGGCAAAATGAAGGCAACAGGTACATTCTTGCAAGATCAAGGGAAAACTCAGGTAAGAGGGAGGCAAACGTGGAACGAACGAACAATGCGATGGGCTTTCAAAAGGTTCGTGGGAAAAGCGTGAGATGAAGCAGCTCTGCATGGTTTCACCACTGTTGAGGACCAGAATGAACGCACACGGGCCCGGTACAACATCCCCGGGACGTGACCTGGCTTGAGGCACCAAGGATAAGACATCAGTTGGAAAAGAGCCCCGCCAAAGCAGCCCAGGTTCTGTTGAAACTGGAGCAAGAACAAGCATCCAGTCCATGCTGACGCTTGTGTGGAAGGATGCTGAAATCCCTGGCGCTTTACTAAAAGTTAATGGTGGGGGCAGTGTTGTGGCACAGCAGGTTAGGCCACCCCCTGCATGCCGTATCACAGTGCTGGCTCGAGTCCCGGCTGCTCTGCTTACAAACCAGTTCCCTACTAATGCACTTGGGAAGCGGCAGGTGATGGCTCAAGCACGAGTCCTTCCTATGTAGGAGACCTGGTTGGAGTTCCTGGCCCCTGACTTTGTCCTGGTCCAGCCCCAACTGTCGGGGTCCCTTGGGCAGTGAATCAAGGGATGGAAGATGGGGCCACCGCCTATAGTGTCAGCATCCCATATGGATGCCAGTTCCAGTGCCGGCTGCTCCACTTCTGATCCAGCTCTCTGCTAACGCGCCTGGGAGAGCAGCAGAGGACGGCCTAAGTGCTTGGGCCCCTGCACCCACATGGGGGACACGGATGAAGCTCCTGGCTTTGGCCTGGCCCAGCTTCGGCCACTGCAGTCATTTGGAGAGTGAACCAGTGGATGGAAGACCTCTCTCTGTAACTCTGCCTCTCAAATTAATAAATAAATCTTTAAAATAGTAAAAAAGGAATGAGACAGCACTGAAGATGAAGCCCACAGAGGCAGACCGTGCACACCCACTTGCAAGGAAAAAAATCCCTCGTTAGTGCCCGAATTAAAGAGGAACGGTGATTAACAGCTGAAATAGCCAAGACCACAGGCATCTCAGCTGGTTCTGCATAAAGGAGTCTGACGGAAAAATCAAGTCGAGCCACATCTCTGCCAACACTGTTGTGCCCAGATGGGATGCAGACTGGGACCAAGATCCTACAGTGTTTCTCAAAGCATTGTAACAGGAGATTACAACAGCCCCCCCCCCCCCCCCCCGCCCCCGGTGTGATCCGAAGACAAAGCTCAGGCAAAGCAATGGCTGCCAGGAGGTGGAAGCGGTCCACAGGAACAGCAAGGGCAAGCGTCTTGGCAGGGTTGGGGGATGCTCACTGCACTTTGCTTGTTGACCTTCTGGAGGGCCAAATGGTGCCATCTGCTTGTTAGGGGGTGTCTGGAGGGAGAAAGACAGGCAGGGGCCGGCGCTGTGGCACACTGTGTGGAGCCACTGCCCGCGATGCCGGCACCCCCATCCGAGTGCCAGTTCGTCCTGGCTGCTCCACTTCCAATCCAGTTCCCTGCTGATGTGCCTAGGGAAGAGGCAGAAGATGGCCCAAGTGCCTGGGCCTCTGCCACCCACGTGGGAGACCCGGATGGAGTTCCAGCCGCCTGGCTTTGGCCCCGCCCAGCCCTGGTTGTTACAGCCATTTGAGGAGTGAACCAGAGGATGGAAGATCTCCCTTTCTTTCTAACTCTGCCTTTCAAATAAATAAATCTTAAAAAACACAGGAAAATGTCACCCAAATCCTTCTCTACCACCAAGCTTCTGCTCGCTGTCGTCACACAAGGGTGACTGCAAGTTTTGGGGAACTCCCTGGGCATCCACCTAGCAGGCCTGGGTGGTTTCTTTTTATTTCTTAATCTAAGACATCTCCGAAGGGTTGAAGGTGCCCATTTTTCTTCAGATAGAAACACACAAAACGCTGTGCTGACAAGGGTTAAACTCCCAGGACCCACAGTTCTTTGGGGATGGGTTAAGTGGCCGGCACCACTTTGAATCCTGAACTTCAATGGAATTTAAGTTGAGATAAAGCTTTTTATTTTTTAAATCTCATTTTACAAGAACGTGTGAAGCCCCATCTGTTGACCACAAAACAAAGAAAAGGTAGTGGGGGCACAGGAAGAGGCAAAACAAAAAAACAAAACAAAACAAAAAACCTACAGAAGACGGCAGAGCAGTAAGTACCGCCATCAGTGAACAAGTGCCTGCCTGCGCCTGCGCCCCGCGGTGAGCAGAGGATGGGGGTGTGCCCCGCATGCCACCTCGGTGGTCTAGGGCCTGCCGCTATCATCTCCCAAGCATCCTTACAGCCAGCCCTGGGCTGAGGACTGCGACTGCCCCAGCACCCGAGCCGGCGCCCTGTCTCCTTTTGCTCTTCTCCCATCTGTTGCCCCCCGCAGCCACTGTCATCTTAAAAACAAACAAAAAATAACCATGGCTCTTTTGAGTGGCAGCCACTTCGCCCCCTATGCCTGCCGGGCCGTCAGCTTCTCAACACACCAGCCTCTTCCCCGGCCAGGGTCCCGAGAAACCCACCGCTGAAAATGGACATCAGGGCCAGTGTGCCACTCCTCTCCCCACGCCCACGGAGTCGTCCTGGGAGCTCACACCAGATCCGAGGTCACTCTCTTAATTGTTAGAGGTAAATACTAAGTTATTTTCGCTTTTGTAATATTTTGAATAAAGTTGCTCAAATTATTTGTCATTTCACAGAATTTCAAGTTTCACGTGTATATTGACTCCTCTTGCAGGTAAAAATGGCTAATGCTGGGCAGGTGTGGCGGGGCCCTGGGTGACGCTCTGCTTAGGAGGCCCTCATCCTGTGTCTGAGCACCAGGTCCGGTCCTGGCTGCTCTGCTTCCCACTCGGCTTCCTGCTACTGCTCCCGGGAAAAAGCTGGTGACGGCTCTAGCACCCGAGCGCCTGCACCCACGCGGGAGATCCCGACACAGCTTCTGTCCCCAGGCTTTCGCTTGCCCCAGCCCTGGCTGACTGGGGAGTGAACCAGTGGATGGAATATCTTTTCTCGCTCACTCAAAATAAACAAATCTAACAACAACAACAAAAGATAAGGCTATCAAATTGCTTGAGACATTTTATAAGAGTTTAGGCAAGAAACAGTATCAACGGTGTCATAAATAAGTATTATAACTTTATTAAAATGAAAAGACAATATTCAAAATAATGCAACAAAATGAATAAAATCCTTTGTCCAATACTGTACACATAATGCGGAAATCAGTGCATTTTCTAAAGCATGTTTTAACCTTCATTTAGTTCATACTAAAATATAATAAGCTTTAAATAGCTCAAATGTCACTCAGCAGTTGAAACTGTAAACGGCTTGTTTGACTGTTAAGAGAACATCGTGATCACGGACCTGTTAGGGAGCACCTTGTCTCTGCGCTTGCCTACACAAGATACATGCACGGCAGGAGGTGAGGACAGGACTGCAGCTCTGGGGCTCAGAGTCAGGGAGGCAGCGAGGCAGCCAGTGGGAGTTTCTAAGCAGAAAGACGGCTGATGTGACCTCTGGTATTAAGACATACTGCACTACTGGTCAGAAGTGTTTTACTTAACAAGCAAACAATCCCCAGCAAATACTGAATAGGAACCAGCAACACAAGGCCAGCTTGTGTTGTACTTGTTTATTAATACAGTCTAAAAAAAACCTACAAACAAAAACATATAGCACACGCCCCCACGCAGTGACTCTCCATCGCGTAGCCTGTAAACTGACATCCTGAAGCCCACTGGCCCAGCAGGCTTTCCCGCCTGTCTGGGGGAAGAACGCGGGACTGAGCAGTGTGGACGAATTCTCTCGGCTGCTCACTCTGAGATGTGAGACACGCACAGGTGATCACATGGTTGCCAAGTAAGACTGCTTGCAAGATAAATGACACAGAACAGAACTGGCTTGAGCCAGATATCTTCAAACTTAACAAAAATAATCTTTCTACGATTTTGATCTGAACAACACTGTTTCTCCTTTGATTGCTCGACTTTCAGTCTCTCAGGAGTCGTTTCTCCAGCTTGAGTTCTTACTACTCCAAGAGAGCCTAACTGGCTGACCTGCAACTACGGCTCGGGCTGGGCCACGACGTGTACACAGGCGTGTGGTGCACGCAGAGGGGCCGCCCCGCCCTCCCGCTCGAGTCGCCGACCTGAACTCGCTTCTCTCCAGCGCCGACAGTCAGGGACGCGGGCTCACAGCTGCCCCGAACCTTTCCGTTACGACACAGTTCACCGTACAGATCCTGCTGTGACCCTCAAAACTGGCAAGGCGAGAGCCACGGCTCCCAGGCGACGGGCTACGGGGACACCACGTAGGAGAGGTGTTTGCGCTTCACGTGGCCGCCCAGATCCACTCGTGTTTTTGAGTCCAGCTTTTCCACGGCTGAAACCACCGCGCAGTCAGCAGGGAGTGGCTGGAGGTGGGCGCTTGTGCTCGTTTCTTCCGCTTCCCTAAAAAACTTCTCAAACTTGTCCAGGTAGGACGGTTTCTCAGGTAGCAGGTAATAATGTGTGGAGCTCACCTTCTTCCCATTCTCAATGATGGGCAGGATGCAAGGCGCCTTGTTAGCGGAGCCCTCGCTGTGCTGTCTCTGCAGGGCCTTGCTGCTGACGTACTTGGGGTCAGGGGCAAAGCTCTGGGTCGGGGGCATGACCCCGTTGAGGTACGACGGAAGGCTCTTAGGACTCGGGGTGCGGGAGCTGCTCTGGGATAGAGGCTCTCTGGGGGGTACCTTGGGAGGCCTGTCCTCATCACTGTACGTGCTGGACGTCACCTCTGCCGACCACCTTCTATAATCGGGCTTCACTGGCCTGGGAGGTATGGGAACCCTGGGGGGAACCTCAGGTTTGTCTTCATCGGAGTTGGGAGACGCTCTGTGTGTGTAGCTGGATATCCTTATGGCTGGCTTGTGAAAGGAGCCAGCCGGTCCCGAATGAGACCTTCTTAACCTTCGGTGGGCTTGAGGGGGAGGTGGATTTGGATGTGGGACACTTCCGTTTTGGTCCGACGCGTAGCTGAGATCTGTGGCAGAAACAGCCGGGGTGTCAAAATACGCATAGTTGATCTGTCCACAGCCACGGAAGCTTCGCCTGCCAGGGACGTCGTATCTGAAGTCAGAAAGTGTACAGTCTTCTAGAAGGAAGTCTGTGTCCGAGCTGGTGAGAAACTCAACCTCACAGTCTGTCTCATCGAGAGAGAGGTCTTCGGAGAGCGGCAGCGGTGGAAGGGGCCTCGAACCCCGTTCCCCAAGAGCTGCGCCGGGGAAGAGGGAAGGGGGGTTTTTCATGGGTGTAAGTGGAGGCGTGGAAGCACAAACGCCATTCACCGAGAGCTTCTTAACTCCACACACAACCTGATCCTCTTCACGCTGCCCCACGCCTTCACTTGGGGGAATAATGAGAGGGGGCAGGCTGGGTCTTGCAGAGGGACCGTTTTCTGCAAAGTAGTGGCCATTCACCGGAGATTTCGAAGTGTGCCCTAGAATGAACACGAGATGTCAATGAAAGATCAACCCTCGCTCCACCTGTGCGACACAGCCCCTAGCTTTCCACCCGAATTACTGGTGAAACACCCGACTGCTGCAACCCTGAGAACACCCATGCAACAGCCACAGGTGTAATTAGAGACCAGGAGGTTGTTAATGCACGTGATCCGGTTCAAAGAACAAATTCTCTCTCGTGTCTTCTCTGGACGTGTGCACAGCGGACACCCACACATCTCAGGCAAGTTTGTGACGTGTGCAAAATTCACAGAGGATGAACAGCATATAATTTACGTGAACACCACAGGACATCGGCCTTGCCGTTTAAGACATGCGACCATACAAGGCACGAGGACACAAATGAGCTCAGACAAGGTCCTTACTGCCAGCCCATCACAACAGTGCCAGTGAATGGACTCGCTTGCACCACGCTCAACTGACAAGCAGCTCTTGACAAAAATCTAAGGAACAGAATGTTCACATTAAAAGTCCTATCTGCACACAATTTGCCAAGTTTTGATTAGCATTTGTACTACTTTCACCTACCGCTTTCGGCAGACAGACAGTGCTAGTAAGAAAGGGGAGATCTTGTCCAAGGTTTCTAAAAGGGAGGAATCCTCAGAGCTGGGATGAGTGTTCTCCATTTCAGAAACATTACCAGGGTGCTCATGAGCGAGCAGCAACCCAGGATAAAGATGGCAGAGTACCACAGTCTGATCCTCCGAACCTACAGCCACTAGGGTCACACTGTTGTTGGACATAGTTCAGCTTTCCTCGTTTGAAAGATAATGGAGAAAAGCCAACGTTAACCCAGCCTGCCGCTTCCTCTCCAAGGCTAGCTTCACGTAAACGTTCAGCATACATACCGAGAGCTGTCAGGTGCCCCTGAGCAGGCGAGTTCAGTCTGTAGGCCATCGTTATTGGGTCGATATTTAAGAAGTTACTGAAAGGAGAGGAGAACATCTTGGTCATAAAACAAGTATCTCTCGCATTCTCACCTTAACACAACGTACCGATACAGGTGCAGCTGTCAGTACTTCTGCACTTACTTCTCAAGCTCTCTCCGGCGGCCCCAGCAGGTCCTCACGCTCCCCATGGCCGGGCCATTATGCAGAAGCGCAGTCTTCAGCGGGCCCCGAATCTCCTGGGCAGCAACTCCCGCTGTTGACATTGTGCCTCACTCGGACGTCTGCAGTGCGTGACGCCAGGATCCGAGTCAGCCAGCAGCTCCCACACCCTGGGGTGGGGACACAGGGGAGAGAAGGGAATAAAAGAAAGCAGTCAGCAACGCCTGTTAGTACAGTCTAAATAAATGACCACGTAAACAGCTAACAGAGAACTGGGGAGGGGAGGGGAGAACAGAAAAGCTTGATCCGTGGACTCACTAATTCAGGACTCACAACGGTTCAGCAAAACGAGAGTCCACTGCCAGCAAAGGCAGCTCGCTGGGGCCCGACAGTGGCCCAGCCAGCGCAGCCGGGTGCGGAGGCCCACCGGCCTCCCGCTAGCCCAGTGAGCCAGCTCTGCAGGCGCGGCTGTCCTTGTGGGTGAAGCACAAGCGATCGTGCTTGCTGTTCCTAAGCTGCATGGCGATTTCTGCAATGACTGCATCCCACACTGCAGAGCTCTCGTCGACAACCCCACAGACAGAGTCCAGTGCTGGGCCAGACCATCCCGTAACCCAGCTCTTACTGTATTCTGTAGTTCACTCAGGCTTGGCCAAGGTTAGATATTCTCCAGGTACTCCTTGTGTAAGAAACAGTTACGTATATGAAGATACTAATTTCCATTATCCGCTAACAATGGGTCCTACAGGGTCAGTGGCCTCGGTGCCAGCGTGGGACAGCCGCCTCGCTCTCTCCCAAGACAAACTCGAAGGTGCATTCTTGACACTCTCCTCCGTGCAGGGGCTGCAAGGCATGGGGCACAGGGCTAGGCACAGCTCGGCAGGCATGGGGCACAGGGCTAGGCACAGCTCAGCAGGCATGGGGCACAGGGCTAGGCACAGCTCGGCAGGCATGGGGCACAGGGCTAGGCACAGCTCGGCAGGCATGGGGCACAGGGCTAGGCACAGCTCGGCAGGCATGGGGCACAGGGCTAGGCACAGCTCGGCAGGCATGGGGCACAGGGCTAGGCACAGCTCGGCAGGCATGGGGCACAGGGCTAGGCACAGCTCAGCGGGCATGGGGCACAGGGCTAGGCACAGCTCGGCAGGCATGGGGCACAGGGCTAGGCACAGCTTGGCAGGCATGGGGCAGCAGGCATGGGGCACAGGGCTAGGCACAGCTCGGCAGGCATGGGGCGCAGGGCTAGGCACAGCTCGGCAGGCATGGGGCACAGGGCTAGGCACAGCTCGGCAGGCATGGGGCTCAGGGCTAGGCACAGCTCGGCAGGCATGGGGCGCAGGGCTAAGCTCAGCTCGGCAGGCATGGGGCTCAGGGCTAGGCACAGCTCAGCAGGCATGGGGCTCAAGGGCTAGGCACAGCTCAGCAGCTCCTCAGCTTTAGGAAGTCCCTCCCCTGTCAGACGTTCTAAGTCTGCAGTCTCCATGGCTTCTTTTTAATGCCACCCTCTATTATTTCTTCTACAAGTGTCAATTATCATCAACGCCTGCTGCCTTCAGAGACACGTTTACTTACAATAAACCCAGGCTCCTCCCTCAGGTTCAATGAACTACGTGTTCAGCCGTGACCTTCCACTCTACAAGACCTTCCTATCTTCCACCACACATCTGCACAGCCACCAGGCGCCAGGCACCGCTCACAACCGAGGGTGTCATGAAGATGACTCTGACAGTGCGCTGGGTGGGGGGACAGCGGATTTTATCTGTAATTGCTCAGCAACTTCAACACTATTATTTACAAATCTGCTGCCTGTTGATTATGACCACAGGACAAAGGCTGTACCCCAGTGACTGCACTCATCGTCAGCTGGATCAGCAGCAGGTGCTAAGTGAACGCTGCTGCCTGCCTGCCTAACGCCGCCTGCTCATCAACGCCAACTAAACGTACACAAAGGCGTAAGGCACAGGGACCTACAGAAACACTCTGCATGTATCGATTACCTTTCACACTGCAGAGGAATGTAAAATCAGTGACGTTCTACAGGCTAAGACTCCAGTGACTGAGTAAGGAGTACGGGCCCGTTACCGATTCTCGCCACTCACCACTGCAAGGGCAGCTGTTCTCACAGAGCAGGCAGAGATTTTACAATAGGGCAAAAATAATATTTCAAATATTTTTATACCAGTCTCCCAAAGATACAGGATTAAAAAAAAGTCATTTAAGAAATCTACATTGTTGGGAGGTCTTTTTGAGAGTTTTAGATGACTAAGACTTACCATCAAGTAAAGCTAGACAAAATTTTAAAACCAGTTTAAAAAAACAAACACACACTGCTAACTCCCCCCTGGTGCACTGAGCCCAGTGGGTCACTGTGCTCCTCCCAAGCATCCTACAAGCACTGGCAAGACGATGGGGAACGGCTGTGGTAACAAAAATGAAAGGCAAGACAGGAAGAAGAGGAATTGCAGTAGCTGGACAGCACACGTGTGAAGACTGTGCATCCAGATTACGCAAAATGCTGTGGGGGATTCTGGAGGCCCAACCCCCACCTGTGTGCAGGCCAGCGAGCACTACCAGCAATGACCAAGCGTCAGCCTCCTATGCCATCTGAACCGTAGCTTTCAACAGAATGATTGTGCAACTATCGCCTCTTCTGAAATGGCTTTGGAATTCTAAACTTACATTTCAATGGTCATTTAAAATTATTTATATGTTCTAGAAAAAGTTATTTTTTATTCATTGTTTCCATCACCTACTTGTTAGCTTTCTTAAGAAAAAAATTTTTTTAGTATAAAAAGAATTGTGTTCACTAAGCCAGCTCACTTCTGACCACAATAGTGTCTTTGTGTATTCATAGAAGGTGACCTGCCTCTAAATTTCAATGGGGAATTGTGAATGGGCCATGTTATGAAACTGTCCCAACTTCCTACTGCTTGCATGGGAGAAGCGAGGAGGGCAATATGAGTGCCATGTTCTCTATTTTTTGGAAAATAATTTCAAACTGCAGACTCAAAAAGCACCGCGCACCACGGGTTCAGAGCAAAGTTTCAGAAACCTGCTCTTCAGACTGCAAACAGGGTGTGAAACCACCTGAAACTCTCCTCCCCCCCCACACCTCCCAGCATTCAGTGCACAGCACTCCGGGTGCCGAGGGGGTGTCAATCAATTTGGCCAACCTTGAGCTGAAAAGAAACAAACTCTGCTGAAATGAAAATCATTTAACGCTGCATTGTTTCATTTCAAGTTTTTTTTTTTTTTAAATCTGCCTCCTTATAACTGTGAAACTAATTCTGCTTTAAAATTCATTAAAACAAAACATTAAAGCAAAAACACCCCGAGGTGGGAAGATCAGCATCTAACAGGACAAGCGAGTGTTCACCTGTGCCGCGTGGCGCAGACCAGGATCCAAATACCCCGGGAATGGTAAGGTTCCTCAAGTTCACACACTAGCCTTTTTAGTGTGTCAGAGAGAGTTAAATACCGATCCTAGATGAGAACTATCTTTTCCTGTTAAGTACCACTTGATTTTTTTGTTTGCTTGTTTGTTGAATTCAAGAGGGGAAAAACCCTAAAATAATTTGCATCTTGAGGTTATCATCTTTCTATTTTCTACCCTTTCTGCCACCTCCGGCCCCCACCCAGCTCACTCCCAAAGCTTCCGTTCCCCACAGACAGCTCTGAATTGATGACTCCAGCCTGGCGCAGGCTTCAGCTGTGTGCCTCCTATTGTCTGGAGGGGAGGTTTCCACGTGGATAGTCCCCTGGCATCCCAAACTCTAAGTCAAACTTCTTTCACTCCGCTGCAGAGCCTGCTCCCCGTCCCCCCAGCAGTTCAGGGTCTTGGAGCATCACACTCCTGCAGGCACCCGTTTTTAACCCAAGTTCTGGCTGGTATACACCCAACTGGCAAGTTCCATAAACTATTTCTACACTTTCTCAAATCCATCCACCTACCACCCACTGGCACCCTCCTGCCAGGAACCCGGAAACACCCAAGCGCACTCCCCACCAGGGCCTGTCAGTGCTCCTCACCTATGTTCACACTAAGTCGGGCCACTGCTCCGAACTCTTCAAAGACTCCCAAACAAAGCCTCCTCGGCCGCTCAACATGACCCGAATCCATCTTTCTCAATGCCTAGAAGTAACACCCTTCAGGGCGACCCCTCTGGCACCACCTCCTGAACCCCCTGCCTTTTAAGGGAAACCAGAGCAGTCTCTGTTCTTGGGCGACTTCGTGCTGGTCCCAACTCCCTCCCATCTGAACACCTTCCAGGACCGACCAGTGACCAGCGTCCAACTCCGCGTTTCTCTCTGCAGATCACAGGGTCACTGCCTTCGTGGGGAAGTGCCCATCTCCCTTCTCCAATATGACACAAAGACTCAGTTACACGTAGGCCAGTGGAGCAAGGCACAGTGAACTCACCCAGTGCCCGGGCGGGCGAGACACAGACGACAGCAACAATGTAGTGAGTTTAGAGCATGTACCAGGAAGGCATTTTTATTAAATTCAGTTCCAAATTCCCCAGCGGACAATCCGCAGGGTGAGCAGAACTGTAGACGCACACCGTGAACAGAGTAGCTTTCCAACCTGGTTTCTCACCGCATCTTCACTCACAGCAGCTGGGGGAGCAGCGCTTTCGGAAAACAACTAGTTTTTCCTTACAGATTATAACGCACCTACTGTTTTTCTGCCTCTAAATTTAAGGTCACTTTCCTAAAAAAAGAAAGTTATACCAAAAGGCACTGCACTTTCTTCATTAAGGTGAAATCACATGCCTTTAGCTTAAGGATAATCTCTCTGAAACTGCCAAAAGGAAAGAAAAAGGAAAAGAAACACAACACAACACAGCAGGCTACCTTAAGGCAGTAACCCAGATACGCTTACCTTGCCACCAGATCTCATTAGCAAATCTCAGAAGCAATCCACAAGAGGAGGAGGGGCACATTTTTGTCATACAACTCATCTCGTTCTGCCCAGTGCTTCCTTATTTAAGAGTGTGATGTAATTTCCTTCTTTGAATCTGGTTCTAGAACCTGATTTCTGTTTATGCAGAGTGAGAAATGGTCTCCCAGCCACATCTGACAGTCACCCTCCCAGTGCGTCTGTGCTCAGAGAAGACGCAAGGTTCACTCAAGAACTCAGGAGCGTGACAGAGTCCATGAGTGGATGCTCCCCGAATACACCAACGTCTGCATGTTCATATCCACGTAAAAATGAAAACTCGGAGAGAGGGGGACAGTCATTGATTTCATTTTGGTTAGTGTCTAAAGCACTTCTAGCCAGGCTAGTCGCCCCTCTGAACATTCAGTGTAGCTGTTTTAAAAAACATTTTACTAATAATCTGAGAAAATTTACTGCCTTGATGCTCATCCACACATTCTGAGTTCAGGGTATGTTGTGTGACCCGGTTTATTTACAAAAAGCGAAAGTACAGTTTGCACAGATTCTTCCGAAACAAAGGCCTCAATTCAGAGTTTTTCAGATTTCATTCTAACAGGCTCCGATTTGGGGGTAGGACGAGAAAGGGAAAGTCGAGTTAAGAAAATCTCCTTCGCCATACTCTGCTGCCAAGAAAGCAGGATCACCTTTCAGTGAGATGCGTGTGAACGACTCTAGAATAAGGCGTCATAAAAACAGTGCATAAACGCAGCAAAAGTCTGATCTCCGTTAACAGTCAAAGGTAGCTGGATGTGGTGAAAATGAACCAGCACGCGGCAGCGCTGTTCCCCAGGGGCCTCTGCCCAGCACATAATGGCCCAGTTGTAGGAGGTGAAAATGGAGGCACCAAGGAAAATAATTTATCTTCAGACTGTCAAAATCAAAATGAAATGACATAATTTCTTCA